ATCCAGTTTATTATTATAGAAAACATACTGAAAATTACACTGAACCTACAGATATTTTTTAGGAGTTAATCATAGACAGAAATGACCTAATAGGATGGACATTTTTAATTAGTGATCGACCGATATGGGTTTGTCATTGGCAGATGCCGATGCCAATCCCTAGAAATACTTTACTTAACAGTAATGAATTATGAAAATACTTGAATTATTTCAAGTATTCGAAAATAAAAAAACGAGCCTTGTCTCTGTTTGCTATACTCCACACTCCCCTTCTCTGTATTATTTAAAATTAAAAAATGTCACAAGTAATCAGAAGACTAAACTCTGTCTCTGTAAAAAAACAAAAACAAAATAAAGACACTGACAAGCTTGCCTGCAGATGTGTCTGCAGACATTTTTTAATTGACCTTGTGAGCGCAGACATTGGCTGATGAGATCATCTAAAAATGCCAAATATCTATTACTACTTTTAATATGTATGATCAAAGGGATATGAAATTTTTATTATTTTTTTAATCCTTCAAATTAAACAGTCAGAGCAGGAAACGGCTCATGTCAATACTGAGGCTAGGGCCTGTGACAAGGGGTTTGCAGGTAGAGAATGTTTCATTTTAAGGAATCACAAGCCAAAAAGGTTGGGGAACACTGCTGTATACTATATCTGTTTGGCTATTGTAATGGCCTGTATGTCAATAGATTGTATTTCTCATCCTCTGTGAGCAAATAAGTCTAAAGGGAAACATTATTAACAACCTACAGCTCTGTTCAATATTACTGTTTTCATCATCTCTCTTTCACAATCAAGAAAATTTTGTTCCTCCTCAACTTTTTCTTCTTGTCCGTTAGTCATAATCATTCATGAAAAAAGCCCAAGCTCTGTAGTGAACAAACAACTGTCAGACCGTACACCCTTCACAATGCAATCTGCAACAATGCAATAAGTGTTGTGGTGTAGGCTGTACTGTACTGTAATACTAAAAAGTGAATTGGCTTCATCTCATTTCTTAACTAAGTTGCTCTCCTCTCACCATATCTGCACTGGGCTGGTACTTGTGCAGCCAGGTGGTTTTGTACTGGACCAGCTTCTGTCCCCGGTAGCGTACCGATGCCCAGCCACAGCCAGACTTCTTGGCCGGATTGACCAGACGTTTACAGTGTGTAGCCCAGGCACTGGGGGAATTAAAAATCTGGCCCGTCTCCACCCATCGGATTTTTCCATCATTTAACAGGTCACCTATAAAGTTCTTACCCTGAGGGAGCAAAGTATCAGAGGAACACTTGACATAATCTGACATAATGCAAGTTAACACAACTATTACACATTCCTACTGTACACAACTGTGAGGTGTGTTATTACCAGGTAGTGGATGGCTAGCACCCCGTCCCCTGGCTCCACTAGACCGTCCTTGAGCAGCACTCTCAGGGTGATGCCTCTCCGGGTCAGCAGAGAGCCCCGACCGCAGCTGGACCTTAGGTCTGCCTCCTCCCCTCCACTCAGCTCCTCCTCATCCTCCTCTCCTCCATCCTCCACCACCTGTGGGGAGCTGGGTGGTTCTGAGTCTGAGGACACACACGTTCAAGGCTGCTGGAGCCTTAATCTTGGCATGTTGTGATGCACGGACTTAATGTTCTCTCATTCTGCAGTTCATGGTACTCAGGAGGTTTCAAAATTAGCCAAAGCACTTGACGACCAATTAAACATCTGCGAATTAAAGTTACATCAGGAATAACGCCAATGAAAATGCCCATTATTTTAATCATAATGACTTTATAATGAATGTCTCTCTGCTATGGCAGCCAGCATCATTCGTAACTGTTGCGTGCTAAAATGATAGCAATCCTATCATGGTGAAAGGAACCTCAAGGGGACAAAGTAGCCAAAAGATCATCTAAAATGGCATTTCATTTATTACGGCTATGCTATGCGGTTGGCCATTGTTTCCGCCTCCTATTAGGACATGGCTCTCTACACAAGAACAGGCCTGCTCCCCTCTGTTAATTTCCCTCGGAACTACAATTAAACCTTCCTTCATTATTCTCACCCATAACTATGAACGCGTCGGAGAGCGCCTTGAAATCCACCTCGGTCAAAAGCTGCTCCTTTCCTGGGCAATTGGGGCTGTGCGGGGTTGAGCTCCGGGCAGATTTCACAGATACACTTCGCCACACTAGCTCCGGCTATTATTCAAAAACATAAAATGAAGGCGTCTGTGGCTCTGCAGTGTAGTTTCCTTGTTGTGTTGCTTTAATGTCAGTTCCCCTCCCCTTTCTTTCTCCCTCTTCCCGTCATTATCATTCTCCCTGTGTTCTTACGCTCGTCTGAGGTGCCGTGCCTGTCTTATGTCGAAAAGTGTTCCTCCGTCGATATGTTTCCCCTGTTCAAAACTGAGGTTCATGTAGCGACCCCCTCAGTGGTTGTTGTTAGGACAATGAGGGTTCAGGTTAGGGGAAACATCTCGATGGGGAAACAGATTTCGACACAACACCAGAGTTTACACGGTCTCATACTGTCACTAGCCCATAGGCGTCGTTAGACCCCTTTTACTGGGGCACGTGCTCCAGTATTGATCTGCTGTGCCCCACTAAAACCACACGTTCGAGCTTTAACAGGCTCCTATATTTGTTGGTGGATTAATTTATATTGATAATAACGTGAAAAGACATGATTTTCTGTTCTAATGTCAAAGCAAAATATAAGTTGAGGCGCAAGTGGAAGGTTCGTACACCACGGTGCGCGCATATGCACGTCGTAGCTGGTGCACTGCAGCGCGCACGCAGCAAACCATATCCTGCGCACGAAACGAAATGTATGGACTGAAGTAGGTGGCAGGGACTAAATGTGTTTTTTGAATATTACTGATGATATTTTTTGACAAACATTACTAACTCCTGTAGATGGACGTAAGAAAATTCTTCAGAGGCCGAGACGGGGGTTCAGAGAGATGAGGGTGAGGGAGGTCGAGACCTGGCTGTAGGTGGTAAACAAGGTAACCTTAGTTTAGTTAACTAGTATGTATCCAAGCACGGATGTTGTAAATTAGAGCTATGCACTTCAATGCATATGATCAGTTGGACTACTGTTAAAACGCTATTTATCTGTGTACTATATGAAATAAAATCAATGCCTAGTATCTTGTGTAATACACTGCTTGGTCATTTTAGTATCTGTGCAATTGTATGCACTTCAGTGCAACACTTCCACTTTAAATGGTGGTCCCTATGTAGAGATGTAGCTCGAAGTGTTGGGACATTTACAACTCACTGAAACAATGCTCCATTTGTTTTAAAATTAAAAATGCTTTTTTTTTTTCCACGAATACTTGGCTACATCTGAAATAAAAACAGAGATGCTGGAAAAAGAGCTGAATTCCAAACATGTTCTACACAGATCTCCTTTTCTTGGCCAGAATGAAAATACTGGTACCCACAAGTGGTGATAAATAAATGGATTGTAGTGATATTTCAACTGAGCCCAAACTGAATAGAATGAAAGTTTGAATGGTGGAAAAAGAACCAACGAAAACTTCAAAACAGAGACAAGCTGTGGTCCAAATGTGTGCAGTCACACCATATGTTGTTTTCTGAATAGGCTTCATAGACAAAGGCCCAGAAAGAGCCAATTTGAAAGAGAATCCTAAAAATTGAGTGGAGTTTGCTAAATGCGTGCTGACAGGGAGAATGTCCTTTGGACAGATGAAACAAACTGAGAGCTACAGGTCCACAGTATGTGCACAGAAGAAAAAACTTGAAGCTTTCAAAGAAAAGTACGCAGAGACACCTGGAGGAGGCTCAGCTGGTTTGCTACATCTAGAATCTGTGCAGGGAACAATCAAATGATTACCCAGATATTCTGTCAAGAAACATACTAGCACTAAAAAAGATATGTTGTTGACATACAGTTCAGTAATGGCTTTGTCAGTAAGTACTGAGCTTTGTGATTCAATATTTCACTGTGAAACCAGTAATGACACCAACCCAGCTAAACTTTCAGGAAGTGAATTAGACCACGTTCACACTGCACGGATACATATCCGATGTTTTGCAATGTGACTTCAGTCTGAACGGCCATGTCGCATTTCATGCGATTTTTATGTCATTGAAATGCGACAGATGTCATAATTCTGCGCTGGAGGAGGCGAGGGGTAATAAAAAATGGCAGACAATGGTGATTCAGGTGGTGATAACGTTTCCCTTCTCGCTCGGAAATTATTAATGAATTCTGTGTCCGTGAAGCCCCTCATGGAATCCCACCAGTCCTGGCTCCAACTCCACATCCACACATTCCTCTGTACAGAGGTAGCAGCCACTGCTCCACAAAAGGCCATAAGCAATATTTGTGCTCTCCTTCTTCTTGATATTCTTATTATTATTATGTCTTTATTTCGATTGCAAATTGTCAGGTACATCGCTACGCACATGCTATCACGAGCCACATCCATTTTTATTTCCACAAACACAGTATGCTGCGTCTGACGTCACGTCCTCTTCTGCACATGCGGGTCACTTCAGGGCCATATACCGTTCACACATGAGACAGATGGTGGTCGCATTTAAATGACAGTGTGAACAACAGCGCAAAAAAATCGGATTTCGGCAAAAAATCTGATCTGAGCATTAAGACCTGCAGTGTGAACGTAGTCTTAGTTGTGATGCTTCCTTAAGTGACTAAAAAGCACAATTAACAGTAGATGTAGATGCAACCAGTCTATTTTTTACATGGTTTTAATTAAATCAAATGTACCACTCTGTTCTGTTCTTACTTGAAACTCAGCCACTCTCTTACAAAGAAGAAGCAATGACTGGTATGAAAAGTATTTTCACAGCTAGAGGATATTTTAAATGACTGGTTCACTGGGTAGACAAACTGAGATGATGTACCACTGCAAGAGTTAAACCATCAATATTCTTATCACATTCCTCTGTGTTGACTTTGCATTTTGAATGCATCTATTCCAAGTTGTGTCCAAAAGAAACACTTCATTTTTTATGAATATCTTTACTTAATGGAATCTCACTCTCGCTTTTACTTCTGAAGAGCCTCCGTCAACAACAACAAAACTCTTGTAAAGGTTACAACACAAATCTACAGTCCTTTAATTTACATTGTACTGAGCTGCCATATGGATTTTGGTTCACCCTATGCAACAATTAGATGATGTTTACTCTGGCAAAAATGACATCAAATGTCATAAAAGAGAAATGTGACTCAAAATTAACTCAAGCACCAGCTGATTCTGTTAATGCAGCAGGATGCAACATGGCTCTAGGTATGAAACTGACATTTTTTCAGACCTGACCAATGTCATGACTTATAGGAAATGAAATTAATAAGAAATGAAAAGTGGTTCTCTAAATGCTTGTGCTGAAGCAACCATTATTCATGTTATTTTTTAACTTTCTCTGTGTGACTAGATTTTTTTAATGACAACTGTGCTAAATTAATTGTTATATTTAAAGACATGTTAACTAAACCTGATTTAATTAATACTAGAGGATCTTGCTTACCTAGCTATCCTTGTAGCGGACCATTTTACCAATGCCTTAAGTAATAGTGTAAAAATAATTTACACATATATATAAAACACTGAATTAAGTGAGCTGTTTTTGGTCTCTACTTATGCTTGAGGGAGGAAAATATCAGACTGGTCATCATCCACTAGGGGCCATGAATGTCTGTATAAAATTTCATGGGAATACAACCAATATTTATTGAGATATTTCAGTGTAGACAAAAGTAGTGGCTCAATCAGCATACCGACACTGCCAGCCCTAGATTCATACCACTAACATTATCAAGTAAAAAGTGACTGCACTGATGTTCAGTATGATGTCTCATCATTTCCTCTGGTTCTGTTTATTTCCTGTGTCCTGTCATCTTCAGCAATTCACTAAAGGGACTTCATACTCCAGCGGACCACAGGCTATGACAGTAAGTCTAAACATCCGAAAAGAAGAGGCCTGAGAAACAAGTTCTCTTCGCCACATGCCCGCCTCCTGGTGGTTGGAGTGTGGTGTTACACATCCCTGTTTGCTGTGGGGCTCTTGGCAGTCAAGATATTACAGTCCTGAACCTTACAGCACCACCTGCTGCATTGACTAGCAAACAAAACAAATGATAAGTAAAAGGATATGTAGAATTATTTTAAAGGAGATGAAAGAGGGTCAGAAAGAGGGCAGAGAGGATTTCTGCAGACCCCTCTCACCCTGGATACAAACTCTTTGAACTCCTCCCCTGTGGATGGCACTACAGGTCACTGTGAGACAAGATAACCA